GTTGCACTGAGGTGTAGGACAAGGGGGTTTGAAAAAGCTTTTAAATCAAAGTGAATACAAGCTGTGAGTAAGAAGAAAATATCACAAAATACACAAAAATGATGAAACTACACTTCAGAATAAGACACATAAATCACAAACACATTGAATGAGGTTTCTAGGTAAGTCAACATGCTTGTACACTTTTCTTCGTATCATATTTATTCATTTGAAGACGAAGTTAATACAAGTTATGATAGGAGAGTTATCATTGTGGAACTTTACATATTGCAGTACTGGTTTAAAGCAGAGCAAGTGACTATAAAACAATTTCCATTGACAGAAAAACGAAATAATTGCCTATACATTTAAACATCCCTCCCTAAGTTTTGCAATTAAATCGATCACCAGCCAGGAAAAAAGCAGGAGAGGAAGCAAACAAATCCAATCAATCCAAAAAATAGCCACTTCAAATATTGGCCATTCAGCATTATGGTGTCACGCATTATTGCTGACCCACAAACAAGCTCAAAAACAATGAATTATAATGCCACTAGGGTGTTTAACAAGCCGTGGATAAACTCTACCGCTCATCACACGAGGATCAATACAAGGAAGAGGCAGTGTCGGCTTATCAAAGTGTCCTCTTCCTCTCTGGAATAATAGGATGCAATATGCTGAAGTGTGGCTACAAAACATATACCTCACTTAATCATTACACCCCAGAGTCCAGATCATTACTTAAACAACCTGCCTGTCATGGCCCGGAAAGATATGTGGGCCTCTATGGAAAAACATTAAGCGGGAAACATCAGAGGAGTAGGATTTAATTGGAGTGAAAAAGCTAGAAAGCAGAATAAGGTCACTTGCCTAAATGGTCTTTTAACTAGGATACTCATTATAAGACTCTACTTGAGCTGTGTAAGAAGACTATGATGATAAAAGCACAATAAATTATTAAAAAACTTCCGCTGAGCAGCAAAAACACACATTGACTCACTGTAGGAATGATAAACAGGAAGACCTACAAAAAGGGACATTTATATAATGGATTTTTCTGTACGGAAGTAGTTTTGAAGAAGTAGCCAACAAATAGAATCTTTTTTTAATTATATTTTTGACTTTTTTAGATAGTCTGCAGTAAAGGGCTATATAACAAATAATATGCAACAAAGTCTTCACCCCGGCTTGGATAAGGGAATAGTCCCTTAACCCCCTAAACCACCAGGTAACTCCCACAAGAGACCATTAAAGGGGCACTCCAGAAAATAAGCATTGCATTTCCATAAAGTAGGAGGTCTCACAAGAGCCTATTCGAATCTCAGCAGGAAAGATAACGTGAAATTCTGTCCGAAGCATTGGACAAGCTCCACGTGATCCTACATGTCCCATAATGCAACTAAAAGCATCTTAAAGGGTCACGAAGGGTTTTGTCTTCTCGTCATCAGATCAGAATGGGTTTGCATGTGTTGTGCTTGAGGGCAGTTACAAACCTTTTGAATGACTTGTTGCTTTTCACAGGTGGACGAGTACTTCCAATGAAAAGCAAGCTAATCTTTAGCATCTTTTGTCACTTGATAACAACCCTTCACACCTCCTCCACTGCTCATTTTAGCCATTACCATCAGACAGTTACTTCAGGACACCTCACGCCAAACTCTTAGAAATACTCTTTCTTTCACACTGCAATACGCATTTAAAGTCCCTTACACACCAAGCCGATTTCGGCCGTCGATAGATGTCGGGCCGTCGATGAGCGTCGTGTCGCCCTACTCAGATTGGTGTGTCTTGGGGTGTTTCTCAATGTCAAGGAAGGATGCTCCAGAGCCACTATTTCAAGGATGCTACGTCATCGAGTCTCGCCGAAGGACTGTTCCAATGTCCAGGCTCCTTGGAATTCTACCGAGCCCGGCGTCCTTCGTAGCGAGAAATTTCGAGGCTGCACATGTGTATCCTCCGCGGTCTTAAAATCCCCACAATGCTTTGCGCACGGACCAATTTCCCCAAATCTGTGGCGGAAAATTTAAGGCGGGGCCTCTCATATGACGCACACCTGCACACTTGCTCGCCTGTTCCACTCTTCGTTTTCCGAATGCCAGGAAGGATTCTTGCCTTGCTTCTGAAGTAAGTGACTCGGAAGACATGTCCTACCAAGGAAGCGTCCTCGACATTGAGAAACACCCCGGGTGTGTCCCGCACCGTTGTGTCTTTTCGGCCGTGCCGACACCTTTCGCCGCCGATTTGACATGTTGAATCGGGAGGCTAAAGGCCGTCGGCCAAAGAAATCACTCTGATTGGCTGTTCAGCTAGCCAATCAGTGCATGAGAAGCGAAACGGAAGTGAGGGACCCAAACAAATCAAGTGTATCAAGTGTTCTCAAAGGAATGCAGTGCTCTTGAATGCAGCTCAAGGCCTGACTCCTCCCCCAATTACTCCCCTGTTGGCATGCCCGTTTCTCTGCACATTTCTCCTCAATCTCTGCTCTGTAATCCTCACTTCTTTACAGTATGTCCTGCTTCCTGTTGTCCTCCATGACAGTAGTTTGTCAAAAACCTCTGTGGTGACTATGGCCAGAACATGTGAATTGTTTGTAAGCCGCATGGTGAGCCACTTTAGGCCCACCTGCTGCTGTTTATGCCTTACTGTTTAGTAGTGTAACATTTGTTTTTGTTTTTGTTTGCATTTTGCCCAGGTTTACATAGTGTTTAAACCAACTGGGATTATTTTGGTTTAACTTTGGTTCTGTTTTTTTTGTTGTGGAGCTGAGTGCCGGTCATTGGAGGGGGGGGGGCGAGTCACCCTAACTGTTTGCTGTGGTGAAAAGCACAGGGAGCACGAGAGACTTACCCGTTTGCTGTGAATGCAGCTGGTGGGTATATGGTAGCACCCTAGCCTGCCACCCCATTTACTGTCCTCAGTCTACTTTTGGTTTGGTTTCTTGTTTAATATACACAGATTTTAAGAGCATAAATAAACTGCAAAAATGATCATTTTAACTGAATATTTATCTTCTAACTCACCATTTTATCTTGCAGCAACCATTCCCTGATTTTCCAAATGTTTTTGCTTACTTTTAATAAACACTTATTTATATTGGAAACCTGTCTCTGCCTGTCAGTTAACCAACCTGTGTCCTGATTACTTGTGAAATCAAGGGTTTTGGTCAAAGGTAAAGCATTGCCTTGTGTACATTTCCTTGGGTGCAAGTCCCCGGGTGGAGTTGTCCTTTTTCTCCTTTTTTAAACATCTAATGTAGTATAAATATACACCAACCTGCCACATGAAAAACGCCTATTGTGTTTTTATGCTACATATCATACTATACAATCAATGATGCGTAGCTAAAGCTAACTAGTTGGCTGTTGTGTATTGGGAGACCAATATGATCTGGCAAAGGTTAGACCTAAATGGTCTTTTAACTAGGATACTCATGAGACTCTACATGAGCTGTGTAAGAAGACTATGATGATAAAAGTACAATAAATTATTTAAAAAAACTTGTGCTGAGCAGCAATAACACACAATGACTCACTGGAGGAATCATTAACAGAAAGACGAACAAAAAGGAAATGTATACGTTGTTGCAGAAAATGTATAATGGATTTTTCTGTACGGCAGTAGTTTTCGCACAAGTGAAACTGGGTGTTGGCATAAAGAAGTACCCAACAAATAGAACCATTTTAAATATATGTTTGCCATTTATAAGATAGTCTGCAGTATAGGGATATATAAGAAATAATATGCAACACAATGTTCGCCCTGGCTTGGATAAGGACAGCTGCGATAGTACCTTGAACTCCTAAGCCATGGTAACTCCTACAAGAGAGCATTCCAGGGGCACTCCAGAAAATTAGCATTGCATTTCCAAAGGTTAGCTAGTTTAGACTGTTGCATGAGGACCGTAAGGCTATAGTGTTGTGCCAAAACGCAACGACTTGAAAACACTATCAAGCTAAAATTAGGAAGCCCACTGAAGTTACTCAATGTCTCTGGGCATAGACAAAGAAAGTGTGTGTGTATGGGTGCAATGAGTCTGTGTGTCTGTGCGTAGTAACGGATGTAAAGGCTTAGATCTACAACATCAGTATCCTCAGTAATAACAACATTCCCTGTTAGGAAAAAGCGTGAGAATAATGCATGAGGGGGCCCCATTCCTAGCTTTGCCTGGGGCCCACTAATCACTAAATATGCCCCTGGCATTGCTATACATTTACATACCAGTCAGCACTCAAGTTCCAGTTCAGATTCAAATTAACTGCATTTGCATGACAGATGCTTTTACATAGAAGCTCAATACAGCAGCAGGATGCATCTAGCTTACAGTAAAGAACATGGGACACAGTTAGCATTACTGCTTTCAAATTGAAGGAAGCTTTATTGGCATGATAACCAAACACAGCATTGCCAAAGCACGTTGTGTGGTAAAACAGTAAAAACTATGATGTTAAATGTTTGGTCTCCATCTATACTTTTGCAGTAACAATGTAAATGTCCCCTCTGTGGGACGAATTAAAGAATTCTGAGCATAATCCACTGCTAGATCACTTTGTGGTTTCCTAACAGGTTTGGTATTTTGTTGATATATGTAATGTGGTAATATTTAGGGTGTCACCTTTTTGGGAGAAATGTTTAGTTTGGACTGGCTGTAGTTGTGTGCATTAGCCTATGTCAGGAAAAAGCACCTCTGTTTCCACTTTTCCCTCACTATGAGTCATTATGGGATTACAGTGAGTCACTCCAGGCAAATGTTATATATCATAGACAGTGTGTGAGGAGCAGGATAAGGTCCATGTGCGTAAATGTGAGAGAGAGAGAGAGAGAGAGAGAGAGAGAGAGAGAGAGAGAGAGAGAGAGAGAGAGAGAGAGAGAGAGAGAGAGAGAGAGAGAGAGAGAGAGAGAGAGAGAGGACCATATGTGCTAGCCCGCATCATAGGGGGAGAGAGAGAGGGGGGGGCGACAGTCTCCCGGCGTTTAGTTGCACGAGGAGATGACAGACAGCGGATCTGCTGCCTCGCTGACTGCGACACCTGAATCACCGGCGACTCCAAACACATGAAGAAGAGCCAAGAGTAAGCGAAGAAGAGGAGGAGGAACGGAGGTTTCCCCTTAAAAAAAGAGGGAAGAATTAGAAACAGAGGAACCGAAGAAGGAGAGGAGAGCGGGGGCAGCGGCAGCAGGCTGGCCGGAACACGGAGCTCTTCAGCGGGGAAGAAATCACCGCCACGACCGTCACAGCTCATCACAGCTCTGGGATGACAAAGGTGGGTGACGGCGTGTTCCCATTGTGTTACATCAGCATCGCTGTCCTACATGGAGCTTTTAATCCCTTAATTTAGAGGAAAGAAGGAAAAAACTGAGACCGGTTTAGAGCATTTTTGTAGATGTTTATGTGTGTTTCATAAAAGCGGTTTTATGCACGTCTTCAGGAAGATGCGTTCACTGCTCCGCGACATGTGTGCCATTTGGAGATGCGCGGCGGAGTGATTTCCTTCACCCAAATATTAATCTGATCTGCCCCACATCTCGCAGTGTGAGGAGATTTGTTTTAATGTTTATGTGCTGTTACAAGCGTCGTGTGTGTGTTGAGGATGAGGAGAGAGAATGAGGAGGGGGGAGTGTTGACCGGGATCGTCTCCTTGAGCGCCTTGGGCTTGTCCGGATGATTGATTTCTCCTGTTCAATCAGATTATGATTGTGTGTGTACACCTATGTCGGGAAATTAATTAAACTGCACCCGAAGATTAACCGCACATCATGAGAGAGAGGGGGACACAATTAATGATCCAACTATTTATATCTGGGGCTTTATTGGATGGAGTGTCCCCAATTGTTGCATCGGTTCAATAGTTTCCATAAAGCACATCTGATTCCTCTCCATTGGTTGGTTTAGCGTTGGGTGCAGATTGGATGAAGTTGTTTCCATTCACCCTGTTTGGTGTTACAATATATTGATTGTGTGGCATTCATGTTTGCATTTGCAGCATATTGCAGGTTGAATGAAGCAGTATTATAGTCATTGATGGTGAATGCTACAAACCAGTGTAAGGAGAATCAACAAAAAAAAATCACTGTGATTAAGCTTGTTTGATCAAATCAGCATTAAGATGAATTAATAAGGCAGAGCATCATGGACATCAATTCTTATTTCATTCCTTTTTTTTTGTTCAGTCCTGCATAAGTCTTCTTTTTCAATCACAAAGCTATGTGTTACTCTGGTTATTACCTAGAAAGCGGGATACAGTAATGTTTCTTGTCTGTGTTTGGTTTGTGAAGCACTTTTAGTTACCTTTGTGTTTGAAAAGGGCATTATAAATAAAGTTAGATTTGATGATCAATCAAGCCATGTCAGTTGTATGTATATGTAGCACGTCCTAAAAACATTTGTGTCCAGCATATCCTTCCGTTTTGGTAACGAGAAACAAACCAAAAAGTCCTTTTATGTCAGGATAAGCTACAGAATTACAAAGACAACTCAAAATGTGCCGTAAATGATGATGTGACAATGTTTTTACCCCAGATGCACAAACCTGAAGAAAACCCCTTTATGCCATTTTGTTACATTTCAAAGAGCATATGTTTGAGGATGTCAATCATCAGTTGTAGCTCCATTTGATCATAACCAAATGTGCTCAGTCCCGTCCTGTATCTCTCTGTCTATCTCTTCCCTTTGTATCCGTCCCGCCTCGGTGTCTTCAGGAAGTAGGTTAGGAGAAAGGAGGGAAGGTGACTTAATAATCCCTTTTTGCGGCAGGTCATTTACAATAACGGACCTGAAAAGGTTCCTCTTTTTTTCCTGGCATGTCCGCAAGAAAGGCACAAGACGGAGTGATGAATGTAAGCTCTGTTTGGAGAATAGCAATGCTGGGAATAACAAAGAAGAAGAAGGGGAGGGGGGCTTAGAAAGAACAGTCACACACACACACACACACTCGTAAATAGAGGCACACACACGTCTTGAAAAAGTCAATATGATTAAGTGTGTTGTGCTGACTAAGATTCACTGCATGGTTGTGTTAGAGCTCATCAGAAGAGTCTTTTTAGACGGAGAGCGACCTTTAAAGGCAGGCGCTCTTGGAAAAGACTTTATTTATACAATATGATATACAGCAGCTCTGTGGCTGCACAGTACTGTCCCTGAAGATGGTAGTTTTCAGGCCCCGGGCCAGAAAAGAGACACTGTGTTTACAGTTTCCCACAAGAAGCAAAGGTCTCAGAAGGTATGTAACAGAAAATCCTCTGTGTGTCCAAAAACACTGTCAGGCTGTTGCAGCAGTTGTCTTGGAGTTGAATGTTTAATGTTGTCTAAATATCTAAAAAGCAGGATTACAGGAAGTAGAAACATTTGCAAATTGATAAAAACACTTCAAGTTGGATCTGTTGCTTGCTTTTCTCTGTTTCACAACATCGTAAATCAAATGTTTGGGCTGTTAGGCCAGCAGGACTATATAACTAAGAGTTCATTTTGAAAGAAGGGCAACAATTCCAGGAATAATTCTCCAGAGCCCAATCAGGCAGGATGAAATCGATAGTGTTGTCAACAAGCAGTTGAAATCCCAGAGATATTCAATTTACAATCAATAAAAAACGCCAATCCTTGCAATTTAGAGTCTTAAATTAAGGATATCTTGGAGGTTTGCTAGATAAAGACTATATATCATAAGGAGTCCTAACTGTTGCAGAAAGCAGTCATTAATTCCCCTTGATAAGCTTTTTAACCTTAATTCAACATGCCAAGCTTACTAAGATGACCTTTTACTGGCGATGACATGATTTAGAAACCTCTTGATGTTGATTTGGGGAGAAAAGTGGTAACAGAAAACAGAAATAAATGAAAATAACTAAAGGAGACTCTCATAAGTAGTTGTACACAGGAAAACAACAAAGCATTCAAACAGAAACTCTTATAGGAGCACAGATATTGTCTCTCTTCTTCTCCACATAGTTGGTACGGTGCTGTAGACACACTTTGTGATGTTTGTGACTGAGATGAGGAATCTTATTGATGTGTATTAGTCGAGGTCGTGACTGCAGTTTAAGATGGAGTGATTAGAGTGCATGTGATTAAAAATGTACTTGCGGGCATCTCAGCTCGCCGCAGAGTACTGATGTTGTGTGTGTGTGTTTGTTTCCATTTATCTTGCAACGTGTGGATGCGAGCCCAAGCTAGATTAATGCCCCATGTTAACAAACCTCCTGGTTTGACCCTGGCTAGCCTGGAAAAAAACACACACAAAAACATACACACACTATTCACTTGATCCCCTGTTGGGTTAACGCTGGCCCTCCTTACAGAAGCGTACGAGCACACACTCACAAACAATATTGAACACTGGCCAACTTTGATGCATTAGTGCAAAGGTGCTTTTTCGTCTCGTTGTGGCCAGGGACCAAATTGATTTGGATGCGCAGGCGTGCTCATGCATGCACACACAAAAAGGCTACAGAAATTCAGTGAAGAGTGGAGATTAGAGGTGATGCATATTATTTAGAGAAAGTGTGTGTAGTTGAAAATGACCTCTCATTCTCCTTGTTTGGCTTAATATTGAGTCAAATGGATCCCCAGAGAGCCCATCAGCTTCTCAAAGAGGCAGAGGCTGTTTAGAAATGATAAAAAAATGTTTTTCCAAATCGCCCTTTATCCCTGGTCAAATTAATTTTATTTATTGTGTTGGAATTGTTAGCTGTGGTTCTGACTGTCTGCCAGATGAAGACAGATGGACGAGGGTTTTGTAGAGACTGGGCTCGGCTCCAGGGAGCTGCCCTTGGTGCGAAGCTTTTCATCTACTTGTAGATGTCGGACAGCCAGATTCCAGCAGACAGACCCTGGATTAAAATGATCTGGGCAGGACGATTATGGGAGCAAAGTCCTGTAACTCAGTGTCCCTGCTGTTCGGCACAACACAAATGCATGTATTTATTATTTATACGGAGAGCATCTCAGTTTGGCTACGGTCAAAACTAAATTCTCTGAGTCCTCCCGCTCAGATAAAATCCAAAGCTTGTCCTTGAGGACTGTTAATATTAATGTAATCTGATCGTCATTGTTTTAGGAAAATAAAGCCAAAGGTGCCGGGCTAAGCCTTCCCTTGGATGATTGGTCCTTATACTATTGTGCACTATGAACAATAAGGGCAGACAACACAAATTACTTCCCTAAACATCTCAAATGCAATCTGCTGCTACGATGTATTGTTATGTTCAGCAAGATATATTTCATATAGATAAGTCCCTCATGCTCAACTTATACAATATAGCAACTAAGCTAGCAGGATCTATGAGCAATAGCTATGTTTGTTTGTTTTCATAAACCTTGTGTATGCCTTTAGTTTCTTCATTTGAATTCATTGTATTTATTGGCTAAACAATCAAAAAACTGCTTTTCAATGATGTAACGGTAGCATATTAGCCCGTCCTTGTTAAATCTAGTATTTGTGTAGCCTAGTAAGCTATTAGTTATTGTTTGTTGCGTCAGAATGTTTGAAACAAAATAGATAGTTGGTCAAAAAGTATCCTTCCCTATCCTGAGCCTCACAGCCAGTCTAAAGTGTCAAGGCTGAAACCCGAAGGTACGTAAGTGCAGGTAGAGTTGGTGTTGATCACAGTTCTGATTGAAGAAGTTGGCAGTTGTATTTAACTGGCCTTGCCCTCCTTGGGGTGCTGTTCCCATGAACCTTTAAGAAACACAAACCCCTCTAAGGAGAGAAAGATAAAGCTTTAACCGGAATAAAACCCACATCAAACAAAGCGTTATCGTCCAGGAGAACCAATGAGACGGGTCAGTAAAGACACAGTGTTGGCTACCAGCTCCAGGGTCAGCAACAACAAGCCGTTCGTTATCTATAAATCCTCCCACGAAATAATATAACCAACCAGAAACTCAATATCACTTTCCGCTTGTGTTCAGCCAATGGCAGTATATGATAAGGAACTTTGTCATTGTTGTTTGGTTTTAATAGTGTTTTTATCGGTGCTGCTTCCCCCGAGTAAGTCTTCAAACACTTATCCTTCCTTTGTATTGCAATGGATGGATGGAGGGATCATATTACTTCTTATTCAATAACCGGCAAGGTGAAAGCTGAAACACTTGGGCAAGGATTCATATCGGACACATTCAAGGGCTTCACATTGCTGACAAATGAATTGCTATTGTTGTTGGACACTGTGATGAATTAAACAGTCCTTCCTTTCTCCGGATTTCAGAAAAAATTATTTATCTTAGTCTCGGCTCAAATTGAAGATGTGATCGTGCGATGAAAGGAGT